AGCTGTTCCCAGCCATTGTTGCCAACTGTTTACACAACACAACGACCCCTCGCGGATAATTTATCACAAACACTTGTCAATATTTTTGGCGGGATTGAGCGTGTTTATTTGGCATTCCGCTTTGCTCTGGACGATTTGTCATTAGGTATTTTCACAGTTGCGGATTTACACTTGTCCGAGGGGAATCATCTGTCAACGGTGACGCGGCTTAAATAACTCCCTTCTGGTCAGTGTGGCTTGAAGGGGTTCATTGTTGAACTGTTGTGTTTTGTTTTTGAGTTGTGTTTAGATTTTGGGAAATAAAAATAATTGATAAATAGATTTACTTATTTTTACTGAAGTTGGGTTTGCAAGTTGCCCGCCATGGCAGTAAAAATATTATTTCAAATTAAAACTATTGTGATGACTTTATGATAGAGATTGAGGAAAATAAAATACACAATATGGATTTTTTGGACCCCCAATAAACACGAAAAGATCGTTAATAAATTGATTCTCTCTGTTGAAAGTCATCCGTAGATTATTAACATTTGGTTTTAGGAAATAGTTACGATTTCTATCAACAACTTGCAGCTATGATTTTTTTCTAACGTATCCAAGTGAGGGTTTAACATTTTCTTACTGATATACCGTCATACAGTATAGAACTGTTGTGCTGATATTACAGTAATGTAAGAGAAAGGCTTTTTAAACATTTATTTTTAATGGCATACAATAACTCTGTTTGGTAATAAACATGCCATTATCTTCAAAAAGATTTTAAAGATGCAACTGATTACCAATTGTTCCATTAATAATAACAACAGTAAACATATCGCCATCTTAAACTTTATCTTTGAATTCACAGTTATAACACTAAATTATAATCGTTCAACTGAAAATTATTTTACGTTCAGTCAGATCTCCAAACGGTTAATATATTTCAGACAAACTACTAAGGAATATCAAATCGTGTTAATATTAATTCCATAGATTAAAATAAAAACTGCTCTCTGCTATTGCCGAATAAAAAGAGTAAAGAGATATAAACTCCGATTTTCTAAGCTACCAACACCAACGCCAATCCTTTTAGGTCACAACTTAGTTTTTAGGTTTATTTTTACTCTAAATGGAATTTAAATTGTTTTGGTTGCTTAAACTTATGCCATTACTCTGTTTATTTCATCGCGTAAACCTAGAACACACGGTCTTTTCACTCAAAGATCACTTAAAGATTAAAACGGTTGGCCGTTTTTATAAAATTTTTTTTGGCAAAATGCAATAGAATATAGCCATAGCCCAATATAGCAAGGACCAGCAATGACCATCGCCCCGGCAAATAGGCCAAGGTAAAGATCCAAGGCCTTCATGCGCCAAACTACAAGACTAGTCAACTCTGGTCACAAACAAACACGATGGAACGATTAGGAGGTTTTGTTTGTAGTTAGGGGTGTATATGCCTGTGACCATGTAGTAAAAATAGGTATCGTGTACGAGTACTTCCTGTTTTAGTGAATTAGGGTAGGCTAGTGTATTGCGGTGGTTGAAAGTGATGTTTACCTGGGAAAACTTTAAGGGAAATGCTCATAGTTTTTTTAGTATGTGAAAGAAGTGCAATCAAAAAATATTTTTTTTCTTTGAACCACATTAAAAATCCGATATTTTAACCCCTTAAGGTTTACAAAAAAATCGCCTTACTAAGGATATCAAGCTGTTCAAAGAGATATATCATTGACCAAACAATAAAAACTCTCTTACACTCAAAATGGTAATTATTTTGTGGTAAAAACACATTTAATCAAAAATGATTTAAATCTTAAAAAAATTAATTTTAAATTTCTTAAGTGTATCTTCAAAAGCTTTCTTAAACGAGCCAAGTAATAACAGCATATGGATAATTAGATGGATTTTTGTTTCATGTGCAGTTTTATATAATATATAATATCGAAGGTGTATAAAAATTATTTAAGTATTTTAAATAAATAAACGATGATTTGACAGTATGTTGTCACAACGTACTATCAGAACATATCACTGCAACGTAAAACGTGCAAGTTACGTTGTCTCGTAAGGTTCGTTTTCCACTACTGTATTAATCAGAAAAATCATGCAAATTTTAAAATAATTCACTGACAAACAATTCAAATTGTTTTTCGGTGTTTTAAAAAACTGTGTTTTTAAACGACGTTCAGTGTTTTGACGTCATCAGTATTAAAGATGATAACTTGATTTTCTGGACGTTTACCTCAACAATTAATTCTTCTTTGTTTATAGTTTGGTCCAAAACTGTGTTAACTATAGAATAATCAATAATTTGGTCAACAAAAATTAATAAAACCTTATTATTACTACATATAATAAGATATCAACAGATACAGATATCGAAAATTCTTTTAGTTTTTTTACATTTTTATTATTTCTTTGTAAATACAATTTAAGTTTTAAACTGTGTGGCGTATGTATCTCATAGAAAAATATTACGTTATCAGTACCGAAAGTGGCTTTTTCTGGCGCACCCAATAATTATTATGTGTGAGGTAAAGCCGAGGACGAGAATAAAATGCATCGAGTGCGAGAAAATCACTTGCGATACGACTTGAACAATGATTTCCATAAATTAGTTAATAATACAGATCTCAGTAATATTAAAACTATTAAATTTTTCAATTAACATTTTAAAATATCAAAATAAAATAAAATTGTTGTCCATAGCAATCCTACCTAACAAATTAGAAGTTCTAGGTTATATGTGCCGTTTTATGTTGGTGACATTCATTCTTTTTAAGTTGATTGTAAGTTTTTTATTATTATTATTTTTAAACAACCACATCTTCTTATCATTGAATATATACTTCACAACGTAGATGGTTTGCTGAATATAGATTTTTCATATATGTATATTTTATATTAATAAATTTTTGTCACTTTGTTTATTTGGCTCAACTTTTCTACTTTTTACCAATCTGGTGAAAGATTTTTAAAGCTTTTTTTAACAAAATCATCAGGAATTTTAGACTTTCAAACATTTCAAACACGCACTACGCTAAAAACACATCAAAACAAGCCAATAGCTGTTTCTGTATACATTTCGACTGTGCAACAATTAAAACAGCTGATTTAAAAACAATTACAAGTCACTAGCGTAGTGAATACACGAAGAACTAATCGAGAGCAAGGGAATGTAAATTTAGATCGAGGGAAAATCAGCTGATCGTTTATCCCTCGCTAAATTAGAGCTTGGTACACAACTACTTTCTTTTATATCAGCTGTTATCGAAAACAACTATTTTCGGTACCAAGTGAGAAAAAGGTTATTTCAAGTGAAAAAATACTGTATTTGTGCAGTGTTTGTGTATTGTTTGGTTTTATTACGCCAGATTTCTATCAAATATACAGTGTAAACACATCAACATATTACAACACAGTAACCTCTAGCACCCAGAATCGATTACGATGTCATCGTACGCTTTCTCTACTTGGCTACTTGACCTTTCTCAACCCCAAGCTTAAGTCTTATCACCTGTTTGACTTAAGCAGCTGTTGAAATAAAACTTGTGGAGAAAATTGATCATATTGTAAAATTACTATTGTACCACATTGCTACGAGATTTGGAAAAATAAATTAGTTTGAAATGTCGGTGAATGACTTAATGTGTAAAATTCTCACATAAAAAAGTAGTGTATTTTGAATGGTTGAGATTTGTTTAGTAAGACTGAATTTGCTACTGTAAAGGACAGTAGCATATATGTTTCACTTTTATGAGAAAAAAATAATCCAGGCTACTTGGGTTTTTGTATAGTTTTGTATGATATTAAAAAGGGTATTTTACATTGAAGGCACTTAGTTGGTGGAATTTGAAGTGAAGATGAAAAAACTGTAATCACATATATTGAAAAACATATTTTAGTAGTGTTATCGGATTATTTTTTTTAAATCCACAATTAGTTGCAATCACGGTTTTTATGATTTCCAATATTTTAATTTGACTGTAAATTTGGAATGCATAGTGTTGATTATTATTTTTAATAGATATTTGAAAGTTCGGTTAAAATCAATCTAATACTGTGGATTATCAGACGGGTTTTTTCCAAATTAATTTAATCAATTTGTAGACATTGATCTTTTGAACTGATGGACTTAGTTTTTATAATTTATTGGCACGTGTTTATAAGTGTGAATCATTTGGGTTAAAACCAATCTTTGCGACCTCTGATGTTTTTAGATTATTAATTCACTGCTTTATAAAAACAAGGTTGTCTGATTTGGGATAACTTAATAATATTTTTATATTTTGAGGTGGACCGACAACTAAAGATTTTTTACTGATATACAGAAAATTATAACCCTTCTGTAACATTTAAACACCGAATTGAATTGGAGAATTTAATTAAGGTTTGTAACATTGAACTGAAGTAAACCAATGGCGTGTATTTTTGTTTCTAGATTTTTAAATAAAGTACCTCCACGACACTTACACATTTTTTTTTACGTACTGTATTTACAAAAAAAAACTAAGTGCAGTATAATTTTAGAACCGAGAGCATAATAACTGGTGTATCTTTGTTACTGACTAAAGATAAGCTGTTTCTTATGCCTAATGGTTAAGCACTGTTTTATTTCGTTCAAATCGGTTGGGAATATCATTGACTACTCAACGGTAATATATAACACATGTATGGTGCTGTATATTTACCTAAGTACATAGTGTAACCTAATGTTAATTTGGAGAGTAGCTCTCTTATAATTCGTCAAACATGGAATCCTCAAAAACACTTTGAACAAATCATTTTCTGAATAACTCCGGATATATTATTTAGAAACGATTTTCAAACAACGACACATGGCTGATTCAAACTCTTACGATAACCACAATCTTCCCACAACCAAAATTACAATCTTTACTGCCCAAAGTGTCGTCAGGTCCAAAACAAAGACGGCGCCAGTTTTATTTATAGATTCAACATCTGCTGCAAACCGGGTCCAGCATTGTAGGCATTGGACAGTGTTGCTGTTGCACTTATGTATTCCAAGTTAGGCAGGGTACGTTGGTGCTGTTAGGTTGGTACCGCCGTGCCTTCAGTCAGCTGATATGAAAGCGAAAGTCCCGCCATTGTTGGTATAACCTCGCGCGTGAACAGCTGATGGTCGAAATATTACGCTTACGTTTGTTTTGTGTTGTGTCTAGTGCTGTGAGGGAGTGTTTTGTGAGTTAGGTAAGTGAATTGTTTTATTTGTTGTGTTTTTGTTTTTTGTGTGATTTGTTTTTTTGGGAATGGAGTGTTACTCTCAAGAAAGTGTTCCCAGATGGCAGAGTTGAAGTAATCTGTGCACAGTTGTGCGTGGTAAAGCGATATAAGTTATGATACAAGCATTATTAATAATTATTATTATGGCGTAATAGACAAAATTACATTAACAGTGTAATACAGAATTAATAAACAGTATCAGTAATCTGACACATTCTTTCTTCTACTGGCAACAACCCTTATCATGGGTAAGCGTTGGCAGTTACTAAAAATCACAAAAGCAATATATTTTGAACCGTAATTTTAACAGTAATGGGGCTGGTGCCATTTTGTTAAGGATTTAAAGAATTGTAACATACTAAATCGTAATCAAAATTGGTGAGCTGTCCCCAAAACTCCGATTTTCCGTTATTATGGGGGGTTTCATGGGAAAATTACATAACTTACAATAGATTTTGAACCGTAATTTTTACAGCGATAAGGATAACATACAAAAGTTGAATAAAAATCGTTCGGGACATTTTTAAGAAAACTTGGTTTTCTGTTATTTTAAAGGGTTTTATTAAAAAATTATGCATAAAAACATGAATTTTGAACAATTAAAAAAAACCTGGATGTATCTTGAAGTAGAACCCACATACCAAATTTTATCGAAATCGAACATGTGTAGTCTATAGATTATACAAGGGGATCATATTACTCTCTTACCCACAATCTATCAAGTAAGAACCTAAATAATGTACTCAGATATATTCAAGTGGTTTACTTCTGAAGATAATAATGTGGTTAGGTTTAATTGTACAAAACTCCAGCATAGAATCAATAAGGGAATGTTGATGAAATAAACACCATTTATTCTATGACTCCAGTTAACATTTTTGTCTCTAACTACAGAACTTCGTTTTGGTCAGATTCATTGTTTTCTAAACAATTCTCACCAATGTATTGTTTCTCAATACCTATATCATAGTATGCGGGTAAATGCAGAATATGCATAAAACCACCAGTAAATTATGCATCAACAGTAAAACGAAGTCAATGAACTCAGACTGAACGATTTTCCTTGCTATTGTTCCAGTGTAAAATCAGATGGAGGACTAATTAATTTGAATCTTTGAATGATTCTACAAACATTTCAATCAGTCTAGAAAAAGAACCCAAACTAAAACTTGGACATCGCCACTTCTTAGGATCAATATTGGTTTTGAAGCCAATTGTTTTTCTAGGTTTGTACCAAATCACATTCAGTATTTTTAGGAAACTCATATATCATCCATTAAAAAGAAATGTTAAAATTACATAATAAAAACTCGATAGACGATATTTATAGGTATATTCCAGATAAAAAGTAGTATTAAGTGGTACAATACTACGATAAATATAATTTTAAAACTTGTATTTTGGAGAAACATCCCGGCACGAATTATAACAATTATATTGAATATTTTTTAGTAATTTTCATTGAAACTTTGGTTTGCCAACGATTTTGAGAGGGTCAAGGTTGTTTTGAACACTTACAAGTAAGATCCAGGCCAAACTCCCCGCAGCTACAGGACATTTTCCCTCCTCTCATGTAGAAAACACATTACGCCATGTTATTTGCCGAATGGTCTAGTTTTTAAGCCAAAACAAAGGTAGTTCAGATTTAGTTGTTAAATGATGTTTTATGTGATCAATATATGATTTTTTATATTGATGATATTAAAAAATTGAAAAAATCTCCTCAAGAACTTTAGCCCAAACTATCTAATTTCAGAGCACGTGTTGGACAATATTTTCGAAGAAGGTAAAAAGTGGAAAATTTGGCGTCCCCTCAAATATTTCTAAAAATAGGTTATTTTGTTTTAAAATACTTGTCATTCATTCTATTAGGCTTTATGAGGATAGGATAGAATGAATGACAAGTATTTATTATGAGAATCTTAACTATAACCGTAATATTCTCAAGTCATCCTTAATCTGTAATCTCTTAAGCTAATCCTTTGTATTCCTCCTTCTGACGACCTCTGTTTGTCCGATACCAGGTGTTTACCTTGGCTCGCCCCGAGCCCGAGGGGCAGACGCCCGCCACTTTCTCCAGCAGCTACTGAGGCTGCTGAGGCTGCTGATACCATGGACTCCGGTCTGATCCGGCTGCTGATCGTCGCCGCGTTGTTTCTGCTGCTAGCAGGCGACTATGGGTATCTCCTGGATCAGCTGACAGGAGTGTTTGGTCCAGAAGAAGCCGATGGAGAGGTTGCCGCCAAGGTCGCTGAAGAGGATGCGACAGAATTGGCCTTCAAGGAGACCGGTGAGTGTTTTTGTTTCGATGAAAGTACTTCCTACTTGCTTGGGATGGATAACAACACAGAATGTTGTAACTGATACAAAATATGATCGGTTAGTATGACAAATAAGGCTTTAGGTATGTAGTTTAAAGTACAACCATAATTTGATGTTTTTACAAGTTAAACTCATCTTCAGGCTATCATCAAACTGGTTACAAACCTCTCATAGCTCGTTAGGATTTTAACATGATAAACAAGATACGATCACTAACACAAATATAACGAAACAATTAGTACCGTTACTGGTCGACCTAGTACAAAATAACGAAGTTAGGGGTAGAAACTAAGTCGGTTTTGACAAAATTGTTTTTATTTCCTACTCATTCTACTCGTTTGAAACGGCGAATAAAAATAATTTTCACAAAAATACAACCTATGTTTTACAAAAGCACAATATTAATATAACAGTAGAATAAAGTAAAAATGGAAGAGTTAATATGAATTTATTTTCATTCTTCTATTTATTCGCGTGCCAATAAGTCCAACTCGTTTAAATGGTTTTCAGCCCTGTCCTATGACCACAGGGTTGAATCTTTATTGAATGTCTTAAACTGAAAATAAGTTTGATTAACCAACACAAACACAAGTTAGTTTTCGTGCCATCGCCTCCCAAATCACGAGCGTATCTAATTTGTAAACAACACTGCCTCCTATATCCTTAAACAACATAGGTTAGGTTGGGATATTTCTTTGTTTCCACAAGGAGTATCCTCGTCTCAGTTGAGAGTCCTGTAAACGGTTTGTTGCGGACCTGTCGTCCTTGATGTCCACGCGTCTGTAGCCAGAAGTAGCAAGACAACAGTTCCACGGATCCTGTAGAGATAACCAGTCTTGTACAGTGTACAGTATGCGATAATTAGTCATTTAAAAGTCGTAGGGCGCGGTTGCTCTTGTGACAGTGCTCGAGCCTTGTGTGCTGAGGGACTGGGTTCAAATCTCACTAATCACAAATCCAATGGTTAGGAATCAGCAAATGATGGTCTAGGAACCCAAAAAAGGATATCTCTGTCTGAAGAGAACTTACTTGGTGTTAACAAACTTTATGTTAAAAGCTATATATCACAGTTTTTTAACCCTTAATACTAGTTCAATAAATGTAACAAATCCATCAAGAACTGACAATTAAATGTGACCTTGACTAAAATATTGATAAGGAAACGTACATCAGTTTATGCTGACCCTATAGAAAACATACAAGCAGAAAATTACGCTATTAAGATTAACGAAATCCTCAATTGCTGTTTTTATTTTAACCAATTTGTAGAATAAATATTTTTTCTACACTTATTAGTTAACGATTTACGAAAGATAGAACGCCGGACGCGCACTATAAAAGTATGATACAGTATATTGTTCCTTTTGGGACGAAACCTCATTTTACAAAATGTCATTAATCAACTGTAGGGGTTTAACAATCAGCCAATATATTTATGTTTCAATTTTATTTAAGTTGTATAAAGCTTAACCATACCCAAATATTAAGCTATCGGTATTCTAAGAATTCAAGGGTCAAAGAGTATACTTTTTGTTACTGAGAACATATTCAAAAGAAAGTAACTAGTGGTTTGCTTTATTTGCATTTCTATTAACATTTCACTAAGATTCTAAATAAAATGTTTGCACCAAAGTTAAAATAATACGTCTCTTAGACTTTTATACCTAATCATAGTAATACAAACGATAGGTTATTAAGAAGTTAACCTTAGTTACCAAAGTTTCCAAAGTTGTTGTGGCATGTTCCGGACTTGGTGGCCTTGGAATCAAATAACGCTTAGAATATCTACCCAATGTTGATACAATGATAAGAAATAGTTACAGTAACAATTGATTCATTAATAAATTCCATTGTTTTTAAACCTTCCAAGAATGATTAAGACACTCTACAAAGCTACGGAAAATTATTACTGCAATTCTTACATCAAATTATTACAATTCTTTAACAAAATTTGAATAAATATGTAAATATGTTTGCTATCGAGTCAAAAGATAACAGAAAGAGGAATACACATGATTTACGTTATTTTGGTTCTCGGGAATCTGGGTAGAGCATAAATCGGAGCTATTTCTTGTAGGAATCGTGCCAAACGGTGCGCCAAAACGATCGTAAACAAAACACGGTCACCAACCGAGGGACGATTCTTGTGACGTTTACAACTACGACTAAATTTCGTGTTCAAACTAATTGTTATTAGTATTAACACACAGAATAAATAGAGAGACTACAGTTAATGGTTGGAGCTCGCTTTAGATTTTTAGAATTACTTACTCGATCAAAGTAAGACTATGTTTGTTCATTCAAACTGTAAAGATTTCTGAAAATGTTTTGCGTTGGTTCTAAAACTTTTGACTGTCATTGTAAGTATTTTTTTACTTTTACCAACTTAATTCTAGTTCGAGTGTAGTTTTATCGTATTTTGTGTAATCTATTTGACCTACAAAATGAATTTGTCAGCAAATTACAATTATTGCAAAATAGCTACGAAATAATTTTGCTATTGCAAAAGTTTGTGTAAAAATAATTTTGATTACGCAGTAGTTTTGGCAACTAATAATCTCAATTTTGTAAACATGATTTACCTCACGGAATATTTTTTGCCAGCAAATCAATTAAAAAACAATGAATGATTCATAGGAAATAGTCTCGTAAGCAAATTAATCGCAACGTTGTAAACAAGCTACTAAACAGTTTTGATTTTTGTAAATATAATTCAGCCTCCAAATTGTTTTTCATTAAGTTTATCAAAATTTTTTTGTTGGAATCAGTAGTTGTTGAAGGTTTGTTTTAGGTACATAAAAAACTGTTATCACCAAATATACATGTAGGTATATTCTTTATTATTGTAACCAGGGGACAACAACAACCAAATCGTTAGGACGGTATTTTTTCACCCTACATTAGCCTATTTGTTTAATTAATTCTTTCGCTTCGTTGCAGACTCTCAAAATAAAATGTAACCATTAAATCTTTCTTTCAATATCCGTCTTGAACATATTTTCTTTACTGGCACTGTGCATTCATCGTTATTGCTAAAAATGACTGCATTACTAATTTCATTACTGCATCAATGTTATTCCTAATTTCATTTTTGACAAGGTTTGTATTTTATATTATTATGCAAAGACATTTATTTTTGTAATAATCCCATCTAGTAACAATACTATCTACTACATCCCAACTGTGAAATGCACAGACACGAATAGTGACCAAAACAGTAAATTAAAAAGAGATTACTCCAGTAAACAGTCGTATTATTGCAATAGCAATCAACTAGGAATTACTGTGCGTGGGACGACACAAGTGTGTTATAAGCTTGTCAATTAATGTTCAGCCTACGCATCCATCTGCATAATATGATGCACCATGTGCACTGTGACTGCATCAGGTCGATTTATGTGCAAAAAGAGTTATGGTCGGATATTTCATCTGTTTTGCATGAAACGCAGTGTTTTCATAAGTGATTGTTTTGAAAAGGTAATCCAGTGTTCTATTTGTAGATTGTGTATTGAAACATTGTTTTGGATTGATTGAATCTGTTTGCATTTTTGTGATTGATTAGGTGTGTTTTAATTAGTTTGGGTTTCAGAAGTTGGTATCAATTGATTAGATGTGAAATAATAATTTAAAATAATTACTGAATGGTACAAATAGCTGGGGTAGCAGATTGGATATAGTATCTCTAATCAATAGTTTGCCAGTTCAATCCTGTGAAAAGGCAAAATATTTTTATAGTTCGAAACAAGACCCAACTGTCTGGGCTTTTGCTATGGGCTTTTACATATGTAATGCATTTACAAAATAATCCCTGATTTAAGTCAGCTTGAAATATATCCATGGTGTATCGGTGTTAAAGTATTGCTTAAAATATTTATATACCAAATTTAAAGGAAGATTAATGATATAATTAATTATAAGCTACATCAATAACTTGGAAAAAGACTAGCACTTGAATTCAATTTTCACTTCACAGTTTCTACTCGCAAAGTTTACTTGGTTCTGTCGCGGATATCTCTCAGCTTTTCCTTATTAGCATCTAATGCATAACCTGTCATATTTGGCTGACTTAATACTGTCACATAACCGTCAATTAGTTGTGGACCAGGTCCAACAACCTCAAAACTGTTCCGGCCCGACTTCCGCTCTTTTTACGTACGGTTCCCAGTTCTGGGTTATGTTATCCAGAAAATATAGGATCATATAAATATGGGATATCCTGGTGTAAGAAAAGAGTTTAATGTCATATAACAATGTTATATTTTTAAAAGATGGGTCTCACTGTTGTGTTTAAATTGAACCGAATTTCAAATAATAAGGTGAAGGTCAAGGAAAATTTAGGCTGAAGTGAATTAGGTAAGCTAATGGAAGAAGAATACAGTGTGAGAGAAAGGGGGATATGTTTTTTTAAGTTAACTTGAGGTATTTAAATCAATTTTAATTAAGTCTATATTTTGATGATACACTGGGCTTTTGACTTTGAAACTGTTTGTAAGAGAATGTCTTAGTATCATTAATGATGATTCATAACCCCTATTTAAATCTTTCTGTTCTATTGATTATCTACGTCTTTATTCATAACAATACTTCCATTATCCTCTATATTTTCTTCACCCATTTTTTACACTGCATTCATTCATTTCTTCCACGTTCTTTTTTGGACTTTCTTTTATGCTTGCTTAATTACTTTTTCCATTGCACTCGCAACCTCTAATCGAGAAAAATCTCCTTCTTCCATAACAATCTTACATTCATAAATTAACTTAGCCGTGTTTAGTATGCGATCAATGAAATCACATATGAAAAAATGATCCAGTAAAAGGGTAAATTAAAGGAAATGAAAGAGGAGTCGTAAGTAGTGCGGGATATATTCGGATTTACTTCCGCAAACACGTGGGTAAGTGGATTTACCATGGCAATCCCGGTGGTAAATAGATATGTTTATTCGAAAGTGTGGTTCAATCTTCAGCA